GCAGAAGTCAACGTTCTCGTTCTTGTTCTTGTTCTCATTCACAAACCAAGAGAAGCCAACTTGGATAAGTGGCTTGATAAGAGAAGCCGGGTTTGCAGTGTTGTGTGAGTTATAGGACTTTCTGCCAGAGCTATTAACTTTGTTTATTTGGGCTTGCAGTCAACAAGAGCTTGGACTGATTAAAACATTCTTTTGTATGTCTATTTGGCTTTCGTTCCTGGATGGGGAAGGGGGGGTCAGAACAGAGTGTCACAGAGAGTTACGTGGCTTGCACTATTCTGAGCTTTCTAGGCATGTAGACCTCTTGCATCTGAGTATCTTTTCCAGGATTGCATATCTTTTCCAAGATCTGCATGGCTCCCCTAACAAATACTAATCTGTGATGTACTTATTGGATGCTTGTTCCCTTAGGATGGTTGATCCTAAAAGGCTGAAGCTAGCTGCCACTCTGATGTCTTCATTGTCAGTTCTATGGCTGGTATTCTACCATTGCCATCAGTTTGGTATTGTTTACTTTAATTTCTGGCCCATGTGCATTTTCACTGTGCATCTAGATTTTTATTACTTTATTTTTATTACTTGAACTTGCAGTTCCTTTGTATTTTAAGCTATCAGGGTAAGTGCCATCAGCAAAGTGCAAGTTATTGATCTTCCTCCAATTTTAAAATGCATTAATCTTTTTCCAGTCCAGCTTCCTTTAATAAATAAGGGAAGAATATACAGCCTTGCCACACAGCTTTACCAATGTAGAGCCGATCTGTTTTGTCTGTACTATGGCTTCCTGATCTTTATATAGGTTTCATAGGGGAAGTGTGGGCTTCCCATTCTTCTAAGCACACTGCACAGCTTGACGCGATCAACACAATCAAAAGCTTTTGATAGTCAATGGAGCAGATGCTGAATTTTTAAATATATATTCTTTGGCTTACTTAATTATCCGGTGCGCATTGGCAATAACATTCTTATTGCTCAGCCTTTTTCTAAAGCCAGCTTGAACATCTGGCATGTAGAGCTGTAATCGGCTCTGGGAGATCCTAAGCATTATTTTTGCTAGCGTGTGAAATTAAAAACAAGGTGTGATAGTCTGCTCTGTAAAGTCTCTTTTTCTTTTTTTTTAAGCTGGGGTGGGGAGGGGTGTTTGTTAGGGTTAGGGTACCGATGTTGATTGATCTCTTCCAATCTGATAGGCATTGTGTCACTGTTCAGACTTGGTTATAACCTAGACCCGTGATGGCGAACCTATGACACGCGTGCCAGAGGTGGCATGCAGAGCCCTCTCTGTGGGCACGCATGCCATCGCCGGCTGCTCTTCTGGTTTCCTGTGTGCACATGCACACTGGCCAGCTGGTCTTCGTGGGCGCCAGAGCGCTGGAAAATGGCCTGAAAACAGCATGGAAAATGGCCGAAAAATAGGCCGATTTCAGGGGCGTTTTTTGCCTGGAAAATGGCCTGAAAACTGCCAAAAACCAGGCAAGCGAGCACTGGCCAGCTGGTCTTTGGGTTTCCGGTGCTCCAGCATGCGCACATGCATGTGCATGCATGCTCATTCTGGTTTGGGCACTCGGTGCCGAAAAGGTTTGCCATCACTGACCTACACTAACGCTTCTTCTGTTGCCTGCTTTATTTCTTTAGTTATTCCATTAATTCTTTTAGCCTTCTGACTTGATAAATAACTGGAATGCTGATCTACCCTCATCTTATAGTATTAGGAATTCTTGTAAATAGGAAATATCTTTTCTGTATCTTGGATGTTGATATCTCTACTGTACGCTCCTTTCCATCTGTGTTGCTTTTTGTATTCCTTGTGCTCTTTTGTACCAATGAAGCTGGAATCCTCAGACCCTGATTCACGATTATTTGCAGCACCAATTATAGTTCCATTCCATTAGGAAAGGCATATCCAATCTCTCCTGTACATTATAAAATGTCTCGTATCTCACCCTTCAAAGCATAAAAATATACAGCCACCTCCCTTCCCATGACTAAGTACCATATTTTTCGGAGTATAGGACGCACCGGAGTATAAGATGCACCAAGGTTTTCAAGAGGCAATTTTTTTTTAAAAAAAAGTAGGTAGTTAGAGGGAGAGAGAGGAAGAGAAAGAAAGAGAAATACAGTAGGTAGGTAGGTAGGTAGGTAGGTAGGTAGGTAGGTAGATAAAGGGATAAAGAGAGAGGGAAATAGAGAGAGAGATAGAGAGAGAGAGA